TGTTTTCAGGGGTCATTGGATTTAAGTGTCATAAATAAATAAATAAATAAATAAATAAATAAATAAATAAATAAATAAATAAATAAATAAATAAATAAAATATCATCACCGTGGGGAGGGGGGCGATGATAACTTCCTCAATGGCTCAAGGGGGCGTTTCTTTCAAAAAGGTTAAGAACCACTGATCTAGTCTAGTATGCTAACTCTGACTGACAGTAACTGTGGTAGTAGCTACAGGCTTTCAGGCAGGAAAGTTGAGTCTGCTGCTCTAGGCAACAGACAATAGAACAGCAGCAGAGAAAGTGCCCAGAGCTTGGGGTCCTGGGGGGGGTCTTTTTGCAGTCCGTCAAGACTGGACAACACTATTGAAGACTGTCCACATGTTCCTTCTTGCGGTACATATTGCACTGCTGTCGCATGTTGGATACATACTAGCATAAACATCATGGAATAAATAATATTGCTCTTTCTTGTCTTCAGGAATTGTGGCACTAAGGGTAAAACACATTTTCTCCATATAATTTACAGAGATAGACCCAAGAGCACATTGGAAAGGAACCAATGTCTGGTAAGAGGCTCCCAGCTGGAGATCAGCTGCAAGTGACTAATCACTACCTCAGGCTATATGTTAACATCTTTAATTCTTCACTGAGCACTATTTGTGGAAAGTTTAACTTGCTTCGAGTTGCCCACCTAACTGGATCATTCCTCATGAAGCAACTCCTTGCATAGCAAAACAAACAAAAAACAATAACAAAAAACAAGCTGTCAAATTTCAGGTACCCCTCTCTCAGATTTGCCCCCAAGTTATTCTGTTCACCATCAAGGCAGACCAGAGGGTTGAGGAGATGAGGTTGCCATTGCATTTAAAAATCCCATCAAGGCTAGTAGGATTACCTCCCTGTCCGATACTGGGTGGAGTGCCTCCATGTGTCTGCTGACAGGTTGGGCCTAGTGCTGGTGTAATGCTCTCCCAACAACCCACAATTGTCCCTCTCAAGGCTGACGGACTTTATCTCTGCTGCCATGTTGAAGTCCCCCCCCCTTGTGCTTCTGGTGAAATTCAATGTCCTTGCTGAGGCACTGGTCCCTGGTCCATCCTTGGACTTCATGGGTACCATGGTCTCCATGAGACTGTCGCAGCAGGTGAGATAGATGGGTGCGGCTACCAATCAACAGGTGGAACTCTATAGAGTGTTCCATGACCTCACCGTTGCCAAATGACATCTGGGGCTCCAACAGGATGCCACAGAATGTGACCAATTTGCAGCCCATTTTCAAAGATCAAGGTCCTCTGTAGGGACTTGAAATCTGTTAGTAAGGCAATAAGTAAAAGCAGGATGTCTTGTGCCCCATCTGATCCAGTTTTATTGGCTCAATTTCTCCCTGTGATGCCTGATGATGTTGACAAAGCACTTACACATTCTAAGCTTACCTCCTCTCGATCAGACCCATGCCCCTCTTGGCTTTTAAAAGCTGCCAGAGAGGGGACTATAGAATGGGCTTGCCAGACCACCCATTCTTCCTTGCAGGAGGAGTATCTTCCCCTCTGTCTGAAGGAGATGGTGGTCAGGCCATCCTGAAACAGACAACTCTTTCATCGGACAACCTTAATTATTATTGTCCCATCACCAATATTCCCTTCATGGGCAAATTGGTTGAGAGAGTGGTGGCTGGACAGTTCCAGATGTTCTTGGATGACACTGATAGTCTAGAACCATTTCAGTCGGGCTTTGGTCATGCAGCTCAATGATCTTCTCCGGGAGGCTGACAGGGGGAGTGTGACTCTGCTGGTCTTCTGGATCTTTAAGCAGCCTTTGATATCGTTGACCACAGTATCCTCCTGGGTTCAGCTGTGGATGGCTGTTTCATCCCCCTGGTGTCTGGAAGTTGAGTCACTGCAACTCAACTTCTTTCTTGTTAGGTTGAAAAGTTTCACTACTCATCCAAGCAGCTTCTTCAGTCTGAGGAGAGTTGGTAGGAGACTATTAATATATCCTCCATGGTTGGTTTCACTTCTCCCTGACCTGAATAGGCTCATTAGAAGGAAAAAAGACTGGGACTGAAGGATAATCCCACTTCTGCAGTCCTTCTCCATCCATTGTCACGAGTCATTAACAGTGGTGTTTTTGGTATGTGTCCCTAATCCTTCTGGGGACCGATGAAAGGGCAGCATGATAAATAGGAGATAGATTGTATCTAAGGCCTCCACCCCTGTTAAGTGCGGGATTTTCTATATGCACATTTATGGCCTCCCTGACCATAAACTACCTATCTTTTCGGTGTAAAATGATTACATCTTGTTTATTATCAAATAACTGTCCTTTGTCCTTCAAATGAAGGAACGCTGCTGATTGTGGTCCTGAGCCATTGCCCCTCCTGTGCTGGGCCATTCTCATGTTTAGTGGCTGTCTGGTTTCTCCAATGTAGAGCTCCAAACACTCCTCTTTGCATTGGACCAGATACAGTATATTGCTCCTATTGTGTCTGGTCTGATCTGGTGGATGAATCTCTGCCTTAGTATGTTTGTGGGTTTGAAGTTCACAGGTATGTGGTGTTTACCAAAAATCCCTTTGAACTTTTCAGATATACCCCCCCCCCATGAAAGGAATGACCAGGTTCTTCAGTCGGCTCTGGGTCTCAGACTGTTCCATTGTCCTCCTGGGTTGAGACACTGCCTTGTTAAAGGCCCATTTTGGATATCCACAGGCCTTAAGGGCTGTCCTCTGATGTCTGTCTTCCTTCTTCTTGGCTACTGTGGAGATGGGGATGTTTCTTGCTCTGTGATTTAGCATCCTGTTTCTATTCCTAAGCTGCTGTTGAATCCTATCATGACTGCACAGTCCAGGAAAGCCAGCCAGTTGTCTTTGGTATCTTCCCTGGTGAACTTTATATTTGAGTACACTGTGTTTATGTGGCCTGTGAAGGCCTGTACTTCCTGAATCTTGATCTTCACCCAGGTGTTGTCCACATACCTGAACCAATGGGTCGGAGTGGTCCCCTAGAAGTGTTTGGTGCCTTCTTTTTCACTTCCTCCATGAATAACTTAGCAACAATGGGTGACACCAAGGAACCCATGGCACAACCTCTGTAGGTGAAGTAAGCGGTGCTCAGACACAGGTCCGGGAGCAGGGATATCTGGTCCAGGTTGTGGCTGCTTCTGGTGGAGAGAATGTTGTCTTCTTCCAGTCTCCTTTTTACAGTTGTTAGGGCATTGGGGGTGGGAATGCTGGTGCAGAGGGAAGTGACATCAAAGGATACCATGGTTTCGTCAGTACTTAGTTTCAGTTCCCTGACCTTGGATACAAACCCCTCTGAGATGTGAATGTGGTGATCCGAGTGTCCAACCAATGGTGCTAAGATGGTGGCCAGGTATTTAGCAATGTTATATGTTACCGAGTTTATGTTGCTGACGATGGGTCTGAGGGGGCTCCTTCGTTGTGTCTCTTGGGAAGTCCATAAAGGCAGGGGAGGCCTCTCCAGGATTCAACCAGTGATAGGTTGCCCTGTCAATAGGCTAATGAGCCTATTCA